TGCGCGGCCGCCGGGCGGCGCCGCGCCGGGCCGCCGCCGCGCTTGATCGGCGAAGGCCGCGCCGCCAGCTTCAGCCGATGAGCCTTGCCCACGACGGCGTTCTTCGATACGCCCAACTTCTTGCCGATCTCGGAGGCGGAATGGCCCGCCTCCCAGAGCTGCTTGAGCTCTTCGATACGCTCCGACGTCCAGCTCATCGCCCTCTCCCTAACAACCACATCTCGCGTGCCGCCAGGCAAAATCCACAATATCCGGTGTGCCGTTCGAAGTCGAGCGGGGACGTCTCGAATCCTGTGGACAAGCGCGCGAAATCCGCGCCGAGTCGCCGCACCTTGTCGGCGCCGGCGTGAAGGTCTACACGCCGCCCCATCATGATCCTGCTCTACACCGACTTCGGTTCCGCCGGCCCCTACGTGGGGCAGATGCATGCGGTGCTGGCGCGCGAGGCGCCGGGCCGGCCGGCCATCGACCTGATGCACGACGCGCCGCGCTTCGCCCCCCGGCCGGCCGCCTATCTGCTGGCCGCCCTGGCCGAACAGGCGCCGGCGGGGGCCGTCTTCCTGGCCGTGGTCGACCCCGGCGTCGGGACGGCGCGCGCGCCCCTGGTGGTGCAGGCCGGCGGCCACAGCTTCGTCGGGCCGGACAACGGGCTGCTCGCGCTGGTGGCGCGCCAGCGCGGCCGCCGGGGCGCGCCGCCCAGCGCCTGGGAGATCGACTGGCGCCCGCAGTGCCTGTCGGCCAGCTTCCACGGTCGCGACCTCTTCGCGCCGATCGCCGCGCAGCTCGCCCGCGGCGGCGTGCCGGCGGTGCGGCCCCGTCAGCTCGACAGTCTGATCGGCCACGACTGGCCTGACAGCCTGGCCGAGACGATCTATATCGACGGCTACGGCAACGCCATGACCGGCCTGCGCGCGGCCGCCCTGCCGGCCGGGGCCCGCCTGGTCGTGGCCGGCCGGCGGCTGGCGCGGGCCGAGACCTTCGCGGCGGTCGCGCCGGGCGAGGCCTTCTGGTACGCCAACGCCTGCGGCCTGGCCGAGATCGCCGTCAATCAGGGGGCGGCGGCCGAGGCGCTGGGCCTGACCCTCGGCAGCCCGATCGGGATCGAAGAGCCATGAACGAGAGCAACCTGCGCGGCATCCTGCTGGGCGTGGCCGCCATGGCGGTGGTGGTCACCGCATCGAACATCCTGGTGCAGTTCCCGATCAACGACTGGATCACCTGGGGCGCCTTCACCTATCCGGCCGCCTTCCTGGTCACCGACCTGACCAACCGGGCGCTCGGCCCCGGCCCGGCGCGGCGGGTGGTCTACGCCGGCTTCGCCCTGGCGGTCCTGCTTTCCATCCTGCTGGCCGACCCGCGCATCGCCCTGGCGTCGGGCACCGCCTTCCTGGTCGCCCAGCTTCTCGACGTCACCCTGTTCGACCGCCTGCGCCGGGCCGCCTGGTGGCAGGCGCCGCTGGCCTCCTCGACGCTCGGCTCGGTCACCGACACCGCGCTCTTCTTCAGCCTCGCCTTCGCCGGCAGCGGCCTGCCCTGGGTCACCTGGGCGCTCGGCGATCTCGGCGTGAAGCTGGCGATGGCGCTGGTGCTGCTGCTCCCCTTCCGCGCGCTGATGACCGTGATCCCGGCGCTGCGGCCGCGCGCCGGCCGCGCCTGAGCCTGGAGTAATTGTTCCCGGCCGGCGGACGCGCCGAGGCGTCCAGACCGTCGCAAATCACGCTACTCCTCCAGGCTGCGGAGGTAGGCGACGATGTCGTCGATCTGGGGCTCGGTGAGCTGCAGGCTGGGCATCTGGGGGTGCGGCGCGTAGACGAAGCCGCGGATGCGGCGCTCGCTCATCTGCGGATGATTGGCGATGGCGTGGAAGGTGGGCGCGGCATCGCTGGCGCCGCGCGCGTCCTCGCCCACCAGATGGCAGGCGGCGCAGAGCTCGCGCGACAGGGCCGCGCCCCGCTCGACCGCCAGGTCCCCGGCCGCCAGGTCCCCGGCCGCCAGGTCCCCGGCCGCCAGCCCCCCGGCCGCCTTATCCTCGGCGGCTTCGGCCGGCGCCCGCGCTCCGGTCAGGGCCAGCCCCCCGGTCACGGCCAAGGTGAGGGTGAGGGTGAGGGTGAGGGCCAGGATCAGGGACCGGATCGCGTGGCGGAAAGAGTGCGGCCGGGCTCGCGTCATCGGCATCCTCGGGCAGCTCAACAGGTCCGGTCGTCGGCGGTCTCGCAGGGCCGCAGGTCGAACCGGGGGTCGGGGGAGATGCGGGCCGCGTCGAAGGCGCGCTGATCGTCGCAGTGGGCACGCACGGCGATGATCTCGCGATCGTTTTGCCGGATCACGCTGACCTGGGAGAAGAAGCTGACGGTGCAGTCCTGCTCCTCGGCGAGCTGCGCGACCAGTTGCTCGCGCCAGTCCGCGCCCTGGGCCCCCGCCGCGCCCCCCGCCGCGCCCCCGGCCGCCCCGCCGAGACCGAGCGCGAGGCCGGCCGCCAGCCAGGCGGCAAGGCCCAGCGGGGCGCGGCGGGCGGGCCGGAGTCTGTGCTTGCCCATCGGCATGCCAACGACTATGCCTGCTTTTCGTCCCCAGGGAAATCCGTCGGAAGAGGCAGCGCCGGGTTGCATGAGCGGCCCGAAGCGGCCCACAAGAGCGGGCGATGCTCGACGCACCCGCCCGATTCGCCGCCGACAGCCAGACGCCCTACGCCGACCCGCAGCAGGCGCTGCGCGAGGTCTTCGGCCACGGCGCCTTTCGCGGCCTGCAGTCGGAGGCGGTGGAGACCCTGCTGGCGGGCGGCGACGCGCTGGTCGTGGCGCCCACCGGCTTCGGCAAGTCGGCCTGCTACCAGGTGCCCGCCCTGTGCCGGCCGGGCACCGCCATCGTGGTCTCGCCGCTGATCGCGCTGATGGCCGACCAGGTCGCGCAGCTCCGCGAGGCCGGGGTGGCCGCCGACATGCTGAACTCCGCCCTGCCGGAGGAGGAGCGGCGGGCGGTGATCCAGCGCCTGCGCGGCGGGCAGACCCGGCTGCTCTACGTCGCGCCGGAGCGGCTGCTGCTGGACGGCACGTTGGAGCTGCTGGAGAGCTGCCGGATCTCGCTGATCGCCATCGACGAGGCGCACTGCGTGTCCCAGTGGGGCCACGACTTCCGGCCCGAATACCGGCGCCTGTCGGCGCTGGCCGGCTGGTTCCCCGAGGTGCCGCGCATCGCGCTGACGGCGACGGCCGACGCCCAAACCCGCACCGACATCCTGACCCAGCTCCGCATGGACCGGGCGCGCGTGCTGGTCGGCGGCTTCGACCGCCCCAACCTGCGCTGGAACTTCGCGGAGAAGCGCGAGCCGCTGCGCCAGCTCGACCGCTTCCTGGCGACCCGTCCGGAAGGCTCCTCGGGCATCGTCTACGTCGGCTCGCGCAAGAAGGCCGAGCAGACGGCCGAGCGGCTGGCCGCCATGGGCTACGCCGCCGAGGCCTACCACGCCGGCCTGGACAGCGAGCTGCGCGGCCAGCGCCAGGCCCGCTTCCTGCGCGAGGACGGCCGCATCGTGGTCGCCACCGTCGCCTTCGGCATGGGCATCGACAAG